CCCTTTAGGGTTTAGGGCTTAGGACTGCCCTAACCTGTACCAAAAAGTGTCCCAGTGCATGTTAGGGCTTGAACCGCCCTGCTATGTACAGATTTACCCTGTACTGCTGAGAGGCCTCAGGTTAAGCAGTTTAGGGCTTAGGGTCCAGCATTCTTGAAACCGAATTGAATCTAGTAAGACCTGAACCTTTCCTTCCCTTCAAAGTAGTATCAAGACCCCGTCCCCTAGTATTATATAGATGTTCCTCATTCAAAGTCTAGAATGTCTTCTACAAGGGGTTGGGAATTAGAAAAAAAGGAGGGAAATGATTAATACCTTTGGGTTCCGGGCTGGGACACATGGCTACAAGTTGTGGAATTCCTGCTGGAGGTTTAGAACCCCTAAGCCCTAATCCGTGAACCCTTATTAACCGCTTGTCCAAGTGTATGAATGCTTCTGCATAGATGTCTCTCATCCTATCTCATATCAGACTACGTCGGTGCGAACTCTTGCGCGACGAATGATCGGCACTTGCTCCGCATGGGAGCGAGGTTATGAAGCAGAAGCTCCTCCTGGGTTGATGCTGAGGAACATAAATTTAAGTAACTGTAGTAAGGAAACCCTTTCATTTACTATTTACCCATATTATGGCAATCTATTTTACGTTCCTTGACAGCAATCCAGCCTCTGCTGCAAGGTGGCATCATAATCTAAATGCACCCACCCTAAACCCGAAATCCTAAACCCCGACATCAGGGCAAGAGTCAGAACCACCATCACTTGAGTAGAGCGTACTCTTCTCGTAAATAGCGCAACCAAAAAGAGAATCGAATCCTGAAAATACTTCTTGCCAAAAACCCTAAGCTCCCGTTATCCGCGTACTTGTCCAAACAAGCCCCTGTGCTTCCCCACGGCCCCTTTAATAGGATACGTGCCTAGGGAACCGCAGACCCCTAAGAAGGACACTTCGTCTAGAGGTCACTTAGAGCTGTCCTATTTGGGGGTGTCTTAGGAATCTACATCCCCCTAAACCCTAAACCCTACAAATCTGCTGGTCTAAACCCTAACCCTAAACCCCCCAAACCCTAAACCCTATAAACCTGGTGGTCTAAACCCTAAAACCTAAACCCTCAACTCCCTAAACCCTTAACCCTAAACCCTAGACTTCTAGTGGTCCCTTGGGAATCTACTTGGAGGGTCATTGGGACTTAGTAAGTAGGTTAATAATCGGGATAACTAGGGTTACTATATGGGTTACAGGGTAAGTAACCTACTTACTAAGTCCCACTGACCCTCCAAATACCTGAAACCTGGTGGTCTGAACCCTAAACCCCCTAAACCCTAAACCCTAGACATCTGGTGGTCCCTTGGGAATCTACCTCATCTAAAGAGATCCTTACCACATGCGGGAGCTCAGGCCGCTCCTCGGAGATTCGACGCCGGGCCAATTCTCAGCAAAATGTGTAATTCTTGGGAGGACCCCCTACCCTGTAATATTGGTGGGTGTAGGGTTCAGAGTTTAGAGTTTGGGGTGGTATATTGGGAAAATAAGAGGACACTAATACAAGCCCTATTGCCCCTTATAGTGGCTATTACTGGGTGGGGGGTTCACCTCGGGTATTTCTAGGAATATTGTGGATGCTATATCGGGACATTATTGGATGGGGTTTAGGGCCTACGGCTTATAGATGTGTAGGGATCTGGATATATAGGGACATTACAAGGATTGTGTAGGGACATAGGGCCCTGTAATAGAGAATTAAGTGGAAAAGAAAATGAGGAATGAGATGGACACTGGGTTAACATGGCCGTTGAGGGGTCTCACATTACTTGGAGAGTCATGGGGACGTACGAAGTAGGTTAAGAATGGGGCAGATGAATTGGGGTTATTACATTGCTCATGAGGCTTTATTTGGGGTATGATCAAAAGGTACCTCCCCATCTCCTCCAATTCAGAAGTTAGAGAGTGTATTGGGTTTAGGGTTTATATACCCTAAACCCTGGCCACGGTACGGATTGGGGCTGAAAGTTTCTGGGGTCCAGCATTGAGGGTCCTTGGCAGGCTTTTACAGGTTTTGGTCGGCAACTTGGCCCCAACGCTGTCCATGATCATCGCATTTTTGGGGTGTTAGAGAATTCCTTAGCATTCTGCTACACGAACCCTAAACCCTAAACCCTAAACCCTTGTCTGCCCTCTGCAGCCACTACAAAGACTGCAATTGATGCTGAAGACTGCGATCCATATGGCTGCCCATGGATGCCCTGACCCTACCCTGAAACTTACTGGGGAGTAGAAGGGAATCAGGCAAGACATTATATAGGGTTTATATTAGGATTATGTTCCTTTATTCCCTACTGACCCCCAGTAAGGAAACTTCTAGAAGGCAATCGAAAGAACATCCTTCAACTGAACTTGGCTTAGCTTTAGCTCCTTTAAACCTGGTAGCGCTCGATGCCTCTAATCTGTGGACCCTGCTTGGAAGGTCGGGGGGACTTAGTAAGCAGGGTAATAACGGGGATAACTAGGGTTACTATATGGGTTATAGGGGTTACCAACCTACTTACACAGTTCCCCTGACCCGCCAAGTGCACTACCCAGAAGGATCTCCCAAACCCTCTTGGGTGGGTGCCAAAAAGGCGGTCTCTTAGTTGGCTTCGTCATAATATGGGTCCTACTATCTTGTCGCACAATTTGTGCGTAGAAAAGCTCTAAAGTCTCTTTTCGGGAGCTAGTCACATATGAGTAGCGTTTTTTGGTGGTTGAACCTAGTAAGAT